TGTGAATTTGAGGGGATGCAAACATTCAGTCCATAACAGAGATGGAAGGAATTTCAGAGTCAAGTGCTAAAATTCATGTTGACTCCAACTGATTCAACCCTCCCCAAACTATTGTCTATCCTTAATCTCTCTATATTACCTTTCCCATAACAACTAATCCATCACTCAGGGTAGTGGAGCCCAAGAAGTGCACTAGATTCACATTGGTGTTTGGACTCTTCTTCAGCCCCTTCCTCTCCTCCTGCCCACAAGATCTACCTAATGGACTACTTCCATAAAGTTTTAAATCAGTGCTAAGGACTAAATATTCTTCCAGGGACATTTCCATTTTAATAAGGGAGTCTTAAAGAGAGATCTCCAAAGTGCAAAGACATAAATCTCTTTTGTGTAATTCAGGAAATGCTATAGCTAGTGAAGAGTTTGCAAATTTGGGATTCCATCTTATTATGCCCTAAATAATCACATAGAAGTAATTATTACTCTCCCTGTGAGACTGACTCTTATCTGAAATTAATACAGTATTGTAAATCAACTATACTTCAATTCAAAAAAAAAGAATTAGGGTAATGCATGAGCAGAGAACAATTCTGTCTCATTGATAATTTGCCAATATAATGGGTATGGGTGAGTGAAACTTTAACTATGGCAAATGAATCATGGAACTTTTGAAATAAAAGGGACCTTTAGAATTCAACCGAATCATTTTGCATATGAGGAAAGGAGAGTATAGCTTAGCTGGATGGATTGTCCAATACTGTATGGTTACTTGAAGACTCAAGACTAGAATGCCTTTCTACTACATCATTTCACATCAGTGCTCCAGTTCTGCCTCATATCATTAGACATCAAGATCAGCCTCTGGCAGCACAGAGGACCTGTTAATGAGGAGGTAGTTGAGGGGGAGCATTTCCTCACCAGCAAGGTTTTATATTCCTAGCCCTGAGCAAGCAATTCTGCAGGTTTCATGCTGTGTTGGGCCTCAAAGATTAGTTTGTGACTTCCTGTTAGAGCAAACCACATGTGTTGAATTGCCAGCTGTTGCCACCTTCTCTAGTCATAATTCACAACATCGGGTACTTTCTAGGTAGTCATAGGTCTTATTGCCTCCTTAATTATCAATGCACAACTGAAATAACAAGCACAAGTCTCTTCTTACCTACATAGACTTCTGGAAAGGTCTAACATTAAAGAGATTTGTGGAGCCCATGGAGAAATGCTGGATTTACTAAATATTTCAGACACAAATCTACTGTCTCTCTTAGATCTCTTCTGATTGCCCAATGTGACTATGGTTGATATGCCTCTCCTAGAGAGCTTGATCTCTCTTGACTTCAGGACTTGGCTATTGGGAGCAGTTAAGAATGTAGAAAAAGTGTAACCCATTCATTGCTTCCATGTTGGTTTGAGGTTATGGAGAAAAAGGTAATATCAGCCCTTGGATGGATTAATTACAAGGAAGACTATTAAAGGCATTTGAGGTATTATGGAAACTTTCAAACACAAAGTAAACAGAATAGTATAATGAATCCCCAAATCAGCCATTCTTGACCCATTTGTTCCTCCATACATTTCCCGCTCTTATTCAATTTTATATCTATATATAACAACAGAAATTTATTTCTCACGGTTCTGGAGGCTGGAAGTTTAAGATCAAGGCACCATCATGGTCTCCTTCTCCGGTGAGGACCTCCTCCCCAGTTTTTATAGCTGGAGCAGTCTCACTGTATCCTCCCATTGTGGGAGGGGCTTATTGTTTTTTAAAGTAAAATGTATACATACTGAAATGCACAATTAGCTATATAATTTGGAAATGGATACGCCCATATAACACACGCCCCTATTATCTCCTTCTGGTCACATTTACAATATGTAAATGTATAGATAAGGAAACAACTTACAGGTTTTTAGCTTTTCTCATTTTCAGGTCATGAAGCATTGCTGTGGATGTTCCTCATTTTGGGAATTCTTCCCTTTAGCCTCCCCTCCTCCTATTTCAACACTGCAAGATCAACCCTTCCAACTCCACTTTTGTTTCGAACACTGTTTGCCTCTGCACGTTGGCTCCAGATTTCTGTCTAGCAACCTAGGTTTGAGGATCTAAATGAGATTTTCTGTAATTCCTTCATTGGCGTCACCTATCTCAGATAAGACAGCTGCTCCAACCCGCTCCCAGAACCCAGCAACCTAGCTCACTCTTGACTGCTTTGCCCCAGAGGAGAGAGAAATGGAGCAGTCCGGCCTTCTAGACCCACCTGGAAACCACCTGGAACTGAGAAGGGGCATAGGAGGAACAGAAATAAAAAGCATTCTTCCTTGATTAACCCAAGTGTGATGAACAGAAGGTGAATGAAATGGACAGGATTAAGAGAAATGTCTCAAGCCTTTCCTCATCAAAAGAAAGGAAAGAAAAGTAAGGCTTCCTGGCTCAGAGTGTCAGGGTAATTGTTCTTGCTACAAGTATCTTCTCCCTAAGGTTATGTATTTTGGCCAGATATACAACCAGATACACACTCTTTTTACATTGTATCCCCAAAAAAGCAATATATGCACAAATGAAAAGGTTTTCTGAAACAATATATAAGACTACTAGGTTAAATACATTCAGATGTTTTCTATTTCTTTAGCTCATTTAAAAAAAAAAAAAAAAAGCTGATCACCATCCACTAAAATGATTTGGCATTTTATGGGTTGCAATCTAAAGTTTGAAAACCATCGCCCTAGGGGCTTTGCCTACGATGTTGGGTTGGGCTGCTTCTCTCTGGGGCTCTTGGTCTCACTGTTTCCTTCACGGGGGGCCAGTTTGAGCCCTCACAAAGTATGGTGGCTCAGCTTAAATCCAGGATACCTAGGCTCCTTACAAGAGATGATATTTAGCTAGGAATTATTTAAAGCTAACCAACATTGAGTAACTGCCAGATAGAAGGCTCCCCTTCACAGCCTGCCAGACTCGCCATAGCTGGGGTGGAGGTGGCTGGAGAGCCAGTCATCATCTGAGGTCAGGAGAGAGTGATGACGATGCACAGCCATCCACACACTCAGCCTGCTCCAAGATTCCATGTTGTGTTTGCCATACCCTTTAGCTGCAAGAAGAAATGCAAGCCTCTTACATACAAGAGGTGCTTTGTGTGCAAAGAAAATACCAGACTGCTTCTCCAGAGATTTGAATCTAAATACTGTATAGCTAACTTCCTATACCTAAACACAGACAAAAAAAATAGAAAACATTTTAAAGGAGAAGGTCTGACGATAGCTATCCAACAATAAAGGTCCTGGTAATACTATGATGCATAGCCTGATCCAGTTTTCTAATAAAAAATAATAATAGTTAAGTTTCACTGGGCTCTTCCTAGTGATCCATATGATGTGCTTTACATGAATTATGTCCTGGAATTTCACAATATCCCTAGGAAATAAATAGCACTACGACCCCCATTTTACAGATGAGGAAACCGAAAGGCAAAACAGTTAAGTAATTTGTCCAAGATCACCTAGGAAGTAATCAGCATAGACAGGACTTGAACTCAGGCTATCTGATTCTGTGTGGACACAGAGATGTGCCACCCAATCCTCCTTCAAGAGAAGACTTGTTGTCCAGCTGCTGGGAGTGTCATCAGTGGCAGCCTGCAGCTGTCAAACTGTTCAGGGGTTGACGCAGCCTCAAAGAAACTCCTTGACCAGAGTCATGACTTTCTCAGAGCAGCCGAAACCCAGTGACTGATTGAGGTGGAGATATGAAGGCCCAGCCATGACAGACCAACAAAGGACAACTCTAAAAGATTACTTTAACTCCAGAGCTTCCTATCAGATTGACATTAGGCCCACACCAAGCTATACTTCTCCCTTTACCTAATCTTGCTTCCTTTCTCTTTTTCCCACAGTCCTTTCAAGGACAGTCCTTAATAGATATCTTGCACACCATATTCTACCTCCAGGTATCTTCCCTGGGAACCAAAACTGTAGCAATGAAAAAAATCTTCCCAATGGGCAGAGCTTCAAGTGGTCATCTACTATGTATAGAGAGAAATGGCCCAAGTTAGAATATATACAACTCATAGGTAGTGGCAAATGGTCTAGCCAGCTGGTCAGGAGCATGAAAGCAGGAAAATTGGAAAAACAGGGAGACAAGAAGGACTAGATAGAGACATATGAAAGGACACATGGGAGTGGGCAAAAGATGTGAAAACCTTTCTATCATATTTTATAGTCCACCAAAGAGGATCAACCACAGAAGAGGCACTAAGCAACAAAGTAGACAAAATAACTCAGCCAGATGACACCAGCCAGGCCCTGTCATCAGCCACCCCAGTGCCAGCAGCCATGGAGACAGAAATGGAGGGTATGCCTGGGCCCAGCAATATAGGCACCCACTTAACAAAGGCTGATGTTGCTGCTACTGCTGCCAGATGTCTAGCCTGGCATTAATAGAGACTAATACTAGAGTTCCAATATGGCACCATTCCTTGAGGAGATGAACTGACCATCAGTTCACCTGTTGGTCAAGTTGACTACATTGGGCCACTATTAGTTTGAAAAGGCCTGAGATTCATGCTTACACTAGACACACATTCTTGGTATAGGTATGCCTTTCCTACCTGCAGGGCTTTAGCCAGCATTACTATCCAAGGGCTTACAGAGTGTTTGCTCTACGGGCATGAGATCCCACATAACACTATGTCAAATCACTTAACTCACATTACTTGAAGCACAGGAGGGGGCTCATGATCATGGGATCCACTGGTCATATCACATACTGCACCACCAAGAAGCTTCTGGAAAGAGAAGTAGAACAGCTTCCTGGAAGTACAGCTAAAACACCAGCTTGAGGGTGATACTTTATGAGGACAGTGGACCCCCCTCCAGGACACAGGATATACCTTGAATCAAAGGCTTCATATAGTGCTGCATCCTCATTAGGAAGACTACATGGGTCTAGAAGCCAAGGGGTGGAAGCAGAAGTGACCACACTTACCTTGACTCCCCATGACCCCTTTGGGAAATGTGTGCCTCCTGTCCACAAAGCTCTTGCCTTTGCAGGGTTAGAAATCTTGGTCTTCAATGGAAGAACTCTTCTACCAAGGGATACAGATATCAGCAGGCAAGAAGAAAAGTCAACATCTTTGCTGAGGTCATTGACCCCAGTCATTAAGAAGAGGCAGGGCTATAGTTATACAATAGGGGCAAAGAGGAATATGTTGTGTGATTAATTTGGGCACCACTTTCATACTCCCTTGTTCAGTTATAATTAAATGAACAAGTGTCACAATCAGAGATGAGGATCTGGGTTGTGCCATGAGGTAAGCCACTGAGGCCAGCTCTCTGAGGGTAAGGGGAATCTAGACTTGCTAGTGGGGGAGGGGGACAATGAGTACCACTTGGGACCCCAAGACCTGCAGCAGTGGTCAGAATTGTACTTTTTCCCATCACTTCCTCTAAGACTCCCCCAGATTAAGAGACACACCAGAATCCAAGAGGAGCTGTTCCCCAAATAGCTATGAAGAAGTGGATCCAGATGGCTCAAAGAGTGAACTGTGATGAACATGGAGATGCACCACGCAGTTCTTCCTTCAAGAAAGGAGCTTACTGTCCCAGCTTCTAAGAGCGCTGTCAGTAGACAACATTCAGCTGTCAGCCCATCAGGAACCAACTCTGCCGCAGAGACCTCACCAAGGTCACAACCCTCCTGGGGTTTAGATCCAGTGGGATGTGGCTCTCCATCCAATAACTAATTGAGGCAGAGGTAGAAAGGTGCAGCCATTTCATTTTAGTATAGGACAATCTGATGGACCATGTGGTAAGCAGAATGATGCCCCTCAAGATATCTACATCCTAATCCCTAGAACCTATGAATATGTTATGTGCATGGTAAGGGGGCTCATAGAAGGTGGGAAGTGAGGGGCAGAGGGAGGCAAGGACTCTGGGGTTTCTGGCTTGGAAGACTGAGTGGATGATGGACATAATAAGAGGAACCAGCTGTGGAGAAAGCAAATAAGTTTAGTTTGATGTGTGCAATATTCAAGTGAAGATGTGAACCTACCCAGTGGCAACCTAGATATATAGATCTAGAACTCAACTGAAAGTTATGAGCTGCTGATATATATTTGGGGGTTATTAATACATGAAGATACCCAGGGATAACGGGTAAAGGGATCAGAAAAAGTAGAAAAGAGGATCCTGGGAAGTGCCAACATTAAAGAGAAAGGCAAAGCAAGAAGGAGAGCTGGAAACCAGGAGAGAAATGTTCTCAAGCCGTGGGATGAAATGATTTAAAGAAAGAAGGTGTGGCTGTCCATGTTGAAAGGAATGGTTCTCATTTTGGTGAGAAACTTAAACAGCTGTGGAAAATTACCACAGATCATAGAGTAGAATATTGTGGAAGCCCATCTGTTTGATGTTTTATTCAACTCAGTACACATTTATTAGACCACTCCCCTATGCCTAACGGTGTCTTGGAGAAAAGTATAATCTAGATACAGTTTGTGCTCGAGAAGCTTAAGATCTAAGAGCAGACCCTGAAGTCAAATATAAAAATGACTGCATGTAAGAAAAACCAGATCTATTGGACTGAATTCTTCAATTTTCATTTGAGTATTTATTTTTTAGATAGAGGCTTTGCCTCTGTTATGTCAAAAATACGACCAACGAATGGAAAGATTAATTTAAAAATTAGACTCTGCAATATCAATTTTCTTTTAAAAAGCAGTTAGTTTGGAGTCATATAGATTCAGTCATGATATATTCCTATTTGGGATTATACCACAGTCTGATTGGTCATTTCATTATATAGTAGCAGATCTTGCCAACATTTAAATGCTTCCAAATTACGTTTATTAAAAAGTCATATGTCAGGGCTTCCCTGGTGGTGCAGTGGCTGAGAATCTGGCTGCCAATGCAGGGGACACGGGTTCGAGCCCTGGTCTGGGAAGATCCCACATGCCGCAGAGCAACTAGGCCTGTGAGCCACAACTACTGAGCCTGCGCGTCTGGAGCCTGTGCACCACAACAAGAGAGGCCGCAACAGTGAGAGGCCCGCGCACCGCGATGAAGAGCGGCGCCCGCTCACCGCAACTAGAGAAAGCCCATGCACAGAAACGAAGACCCAACACAGCCAAAAATAAATAAATAAATAAATAATTTTTTAAAAAGTCATATGTCGTTATTACAATTTTGTAAAGGGACTTTGAAGAAATTTTATAAATCAAACAGTCTGTTTCTGTAGGGCCTATTTCTCCAGTACTTAGATTTATCACATTCCTACATTTTACACTGAAGAGCATTCAAACAGAAATCAAAGAGCCCCATTATTGACTCAATTACCTCTGAAGAAACTGCTGAGAACATTTATCAATATTATGTAAAGGGGAAGGAATGTGGAATCAGGAATTGGGAAACTGGGTTTTCAGTCTCAACTCAATCACTTACTATTTGGGTAACTTTGGGCAAGACACCCAACTGCACTGAATCCGAGAGTTTTTAATCTATAAAATGGTAGTCACAGTAGAATTGCATTGAGGCTATAACAAGGTGTAAAATTCATTATATTAAATAAATGTGTAGAACTGCTCTACAAACTATAAATTCCTATACAAATATTTATCATATTATCATTACCATTTCCTTGAGAGAAAGGTTAATGTGAAAAAAAATGTTCAAATATGAACTCCCATTTGAGGCTTATAGATGCATACTACATAAGTTTAAATGGTGTATAGAATCATTGCCAAGTTGTAGAGAGAATCACCAAATAACCAATCCCTTTTAGTAGTAAATGGAATAGAAATAGCCACGTGGGGCATTTTGCTGATCTTAATGACCAGATATCACTCTTTGGCACTTGACATTCATGACAGATATAAGAAATTAATTGATACCTAAATAAATCAATTACGTAATTGAGATCTTAGGATTTTTAAAATCATCTCATATGTAGAATTACATGAATATATGTGATCTATATATGAATGTTTATCCTAGCTTGGAAATAGATGATAGATATAAGATAGATATTATATTCATATAGCATAACTCCCTCAATTTTCATCAACATTTTTACCAAATCTTTTAAGAGATTGAAGGAAAAAATAAAGATGTGAACAAGAGAATAGCATTTTGAATAATTTTGAATATGAGGCAACATTTTTACCACAGAATCTTTGAATCTTAGAGTTGGAAGGAATCCTAGATTTTGTATATACACACCATCCACTAAATTCCTTATCAGTGGTTTTCTGGCCTCTGCTTGCACAGAGAATAAAAGAGTAAATATTCTACAAGGTATCTCATTCTTTTTTCTTTTTTAACAGTTTTTCTCTTCCATTTTTAAACAAAATTAAGAAAATTCTTCTTTATATTGAACTGAGATATCTTAATACTTTTAAAGCTTTCTGACGACATTTTATGGGGCAAGAAAATCATTCATTCATTCATTCATTGAACATTAATTGCCCGTTACCAGCTGGCATTCATACAAGTAGACCCCACTCACAAGCCAAGGTGCAGTCAAGTTGGAGATAGGTGTAACTCAATTGTAATTGATTTTGTCCAACACCAAACCCCAGCCTCATTGGAAAATCTCTTTCCCTACAACAAATCTAATTGCCTCTCCTAAAATACTTCCCTCAGTTGATTTTGCAATTTAGTCATTATCACATTTTCCTGTTACTTCCCCAAACCAAATATTGAGGTAAAATAGGGATATCCAGAGTGTAGCAGGCAAACAAAACAATTTCTATCCTTTTCCCTTCTAGATTTTCTCTAGCTCTATGTAAAATAAAGAGTAAAATGGATAAACCTGTGATCATTTTACTTGCCCCTCAGGACACAGTGCTCTGAAACTTCAGCAAGCATATCTTCTGTTTGTTTTCAGGCCATGTTATCAGAAGGCTATCTGACCAATCGGAAGTTCACACAACCAGTCAGGAAAAATTCTACACTTTTAGGGGTCACGGGAGGAGAACTTCTCAAGAGCGGAGGGAAGAGGAAGGAGGCAGGACTCACAGCAGATGTCAGTTCTGCACAAACTAGCTGTGGGATTCTTCCTGCCTCAATCTCCTCATCTGTAAGGGTGCTAATAAGGAACCTTTAAAGCACCTTACAGTTTAAAAAATCTACAATTTCAATTTTTATTTGACTAAAATCAAATAAATTTGGAAAAAAATGCGTTTTCAACATTCCAACGTATGGCAAGCTTATTAAGGACTTTTCAGCTTGTTAATATCTTAGAACAGATTTCTTGACACACATTCAAACGAGATATTATTGGAGGAGGTCATCGAGTGGGTGTGACTGCCTGGTGACCTGTAAGCTGAACCCAGGCAATTGGAGGCTCCCCACGCTCTTCCCTTCCTTGGAATATACATTCCACCCACCGTTCCCACAGCTGGAGCCATTTTCAGGGATGCAGCCTTGAGACAGTAATGTGTTGTTGAGACCATGTGGATGGTATACATGACTGAACCCAGTTAAGACCCCATATAAGCTCATATTCTGGCTATCAGGTTCAGAGATCTACTGGTCTTGCAGCCACCCAAGACAAGCCTCCTACGTAAGTTTTCTTGCTTATGAAAACTGCCACCTGCCAATCTGGAGTGGTCTTCCTCTTTCTTCAGTTTCTCCTTGTCCTCCATGCACCGGGGCCAGTTTACAAACCAACAGATATATAACATTGTTCTTAATAAGATTTTATGCATGTGGTTTTTATCATGCATATGATCCATTATTACAACATACAAGAACACATTTACAAATTTATTTCTCAACTGATTTAGTTGGAATTGTGATTGTTTTATTTATTAGCAGATCTATGCTGTCTTATTACCCTGAGGTTTTCAGTGACTTTTAGCTTATAAGAAAAGCTAGAGAAAATAAGGGAAGATGAGACAAACATTTGTGAATATACATGATAGTTGAATTAAAACTTTCCATCATATTATATAGCATCCTAAAAAAACAGATAGGAAAATATATGAATCATTCCCTTGTTTATTTGTTTTTGTGGTACGCGGGCCTCTCACTGTTGTAGCCTCTCCCGTTGCGGAGCACAGGCTCCAGACGCGCAGGCTCAGTGGCCATG